TTTACCATCCACCCATTACCGTTGTGGATGATATTAGCTAAATATTTAAGCTAATATTAGCTAAGTATTAACAGTACGATGTTACGCATTATGTATTAATTGACATTAATGAATTGGCAAAAATACTTTTAATCACAAGTTAAAACTATTATTATTTTTAATCATTTTACTGTATCCATGTCAATGGTATGTAAGTCCACTGTAAAAAAGAAAATTATTTAAGTAATTTTCAAGTATGCAAAATAATATGTTAACTTAAAAAATATTTAAGTGAGATTAAAAATCTTTGAATCCATAATTTATGTATAAATAGGTAGTATGTATAATATGAATACTTATATTCTGCTTCATTAAAAAATATAACCCTTTAATGTAATCTTTTCAATGCAATTTTTTTATTTAACAATTGGCTTAGAAATACTATATGATAACATTTGGTACCTAATAAAATTATAATAATATTGTAATATTGTTGGAAATTATTATATTTATTATAATTTATAATATATAATAAGCAGCTTTATATATTCGGTATATTTTTGTTTGTGTGACTTTTGGGAGTTGTGTAGGCAACCCAATTACACTGCTCATCAATAACCAGGTCAATGCTAATTTCCACTTGTAGAATTTTGTAGTAAATATGAAATGCAAAAAGGCTTAAATTCATGTACCTAAATAGACTAAAAAGTTTCGTAATAATAAAGTAAATTTTATAGTAACTACTTCAAACAAAATGTCTTGCAGTAAACTTAAAACATTTCAGCAGGTATATCTACTTTATTTTTAATAATTTTTTATTTCATCTAATCAAAGTAAATATTGATGAAATTTCTATGGAATATGAGGTATTTTATATCACAGATGCCGGATAGAGCTTTGTTAAATTGTATCAGAGTAATTATTACCCTATGGACCACACATACAGATATGTATTACAAGAAAAGTTGGCTTCTAAAATCATTAATATACCAAAGGAATACTTAAATGAGAAATTGTAATAAACAATAGGATTTGGCTGTTGTCTAATATATAAAAGCGCTCTTAGAGAGATCTAAACACACTATTTCTGCGTGACAACTCGTTGACAGTATCCATGATAGAAGTATTTGTCTTAAGTTGCTACATTACTCCGTGAGTTAAAATGTGTTAAATACTAATCTACATTAATAAACTTACAATAATAGTTAATTAAACAACGTGTTTAGTTTGTTTGATTCAGTCTTTATCAACCGTACTCCATAACAATGCTATGGGGGTTCCATTCATCTACGTTTCACTTTAAATCAATAAGCATTGGACAAAGTGGAGTAAAATTTCAGAGCTTAAAACATTTTAAATAAGTAATATTGCTTTATATAGGTTGATAAGTCATCATAATTTTTAGAGGAAATAATAAACGAAGACAAATGAAAAGATGAAAAGATATAATAAGGTAAGGAATCATAAAATTAATCAATACTTATCATTATTTAATTTTCTTAATTCCTGTGAACTAATTTCATCTACAGAGAAATTATTAAGTAATGTCGATTTTTTTGGTTTTAAATGTTAGAATCGACCACTGTTGCTTTTTACCAGATTTTATTATTAAATTTAAAAATTACGATTTCTTATAGTTAGTGAGTTGTTATAAAAATCGTTAAACACTGGCTAGAATGTTTAATGAACTGTTGCTAAACATATTTATGTAAAAATGTCTATGATTTTCGAAAATTATACTACAAAAGGCTTCGAAAAAGAACTTTAAAAAAAAAAACTTTCATGTGATATCTAGGTAAAGGAATAAGTTTGAATTTCGAAACTTCATATATAACATTATGTGTAGTGCCGTAAAAGCATGAGCACAGAAAAAGTAAAAATTAGCAATTTTTTTTTTCTTTACGGCCCACAGTCGGTATCCCGTCAATAGATAGCGGACAATTGATCAGGCGACATTTGATAGCAGTCAATTGATTGCGCGACAATTGGTAGCGAAAAATTAAAAAATTATAATAATTAGGGCTCGTAACTTAATGATTTATATACGCTTATATACAAATTTGTAATAAATTCATTTTATTTGAAATTTACGAATTTTTAAATTATATTATCATTTATCATCAAATATGCTCTAAAAAATTGTAAAATTAAAATATATGCACTTTAAACTCAAAAAATTACTATGCAAAAAAAAATGCACTACAAACTTTTAATATATTTTACGTAGTGTCTTGAAATTGCAACAATGATACAAATGCAACAACTTTCGAGCCTTAATAATAATAGTTATATAATAAGTACTATTTAGTAAACTATGTGAATCTATAATAATTGGTCGGAACTAAATCGTTCTTGGGTTTTTATATTACAATATACAACTATAAATTGTCAGCTAGTAGATACAGATTACAGATAATTGTTTTTCTTTCTCCCGATATAAAATAAATAATAAAATAAATTTAATTCAGTCACGATATTTAAAAAAATATGTTTAGATTTTGAAAATAGACCAATTGAAGACTTTCTCCGAGTTATTGTGCACAACTTTCAATTACAAGTTTAATGTTTTATTAATTTTTATATGTAATTAAGTTTTTTTAATAACTTGCATATTATAATCCAATATTTGACTAATAATTAGATTCTATGTATTATAAATATTATAAATAATAATGATATAATTGGGTTTTTATTTTATTTTTTTTTATGACACTACCAATTGGCAATTGTTATATACTATCAATTGTCTGCTATCCATTGTTGGATATCCCCCACAGTCAACTGTTGATTTTTTTCGTTTCAAACCTAATATTACCTCTTTTTTAAAGTGTAAGGTGTTTGTAAATTTGTTTGAAACAAACTAAAATGTTTCATGCATTGTCGCCCAATCTATTTATGTAATGATTTATATGATTTTCAAATATTTTACAACAAAAGGCCTCGAAAAAGTGCTTTTTTAAAAAATTCACGTTTCATGCGATATCTAGATGAAGGAATATATTTTGAATTTCAAAACTTCATTTACACTATTAGAATTAGTGCCAGAAAATTATGAGCTCAAAAAAAAAAAAAAAAAAAATATATAAGCAATTTTTTTTGAAGATGGCTCACAGTTATCTGTTGGTTTTTTTGTTTAAAACCCAGTATTGCCTCTTTTTTAGAGTGTAAGGTGCTTGTAAATGTGTAATTCTTGTAATTTCGTGTACCTTTTAATACTTATTACAAGAATTATATAATTTACAATATTATGAGTAGAGTTTTAAGTAAAAATACAAAGTAAATATTGAAATGATTCAAACTCATTTTTAAAAATGTTTTTAGTTTTTGAGTTAAAAAAATATTTAGAAAAAACCATTGTTACATAATTTTATATTTTTCAAATAGATAGTTTAAATCTTTTGCCGCTTTTCAAAATTTGCTGCCTAAAACATATACATTAACGTTAACACGAGCCTAAATAAAACCACAAATAGACTAATCAGATAGCTTTTATAATTTATATGTAATTGCCTTCTTCTTTATAACTATCAAAAATCAATTATTTTAATGTTATAATTTACAAATTACAAATTTACGACTTCGGCCTAAAACTATCTTCCAATATAGGTAATTCCTATTGTAACATTGTAAAAACACAAACGTCATTAAGTAGGTATCTATCGGCTATGTTGTCAATTTGTTATGTTAACATAATTAATTAAATGAATAATACAAAAATGTTTTGTATAGGCTATGCAATATGGTATATACTATATTATTGAATATTTACCCTAGACAATATAGATCTATATACCTAATAACAAAAATCATATATATTAAATGTTATTACCAATTATTAATTTAAAAAAATATATTTGTTTATCGAACTATGCAATCTATGGGCAACCAGCATAAGCTTTATGTTAACTATTTTGGCCACGTTTGAAATCACTTATTTCGCCCTTGTGATTTATGGAGATCCTAAATGACCTAAATACATACTACATAGGTATGTATTACAACTATTAAGGGCTATCATGCCGAGTCAGTAGCGACAACTGATTTGAGGTATAGTATTTATTTTTTTTAACACTCGTTGACTTACCTACCCCGTAACCAGGATAAAAAATGATAGCAGCACTAACATATTCGTACATTATTAATAATAAACATTTTACTAGGTATTGACTTTCATCTACCTAATCGACCTAAACACCTAACACCCACTCTTAACTAAATATTTTATTTATCACTAGAGTCCCGTGCCTCAAATATTACCTTCGCGACACCTTAGTGCGTCTTTATCGGATATTGTGTAATAGTACGTATTAATGCCACATGAGCTAGGTACCTATATGTCTATTCTATAATCAATGATAATACTAAAGTTTAATGACTAAACACAATAACCATGATAGACCTTATAGACGTAGGTATAGGATCCAATAGTTTATAAATTATATTACAGATATTTTAGAACTTACACACTTTAAATCGTACTGTCTCCAATTTTCAGATATCCATTCGTTGATATTCATGTCACTCCGGCATTCTTTTGAGTGTTGAGTACTTGCGTGATATAAAATAGTGTGAACATGTGATACTCTCACGCTTTACTTTAAATAATAATAAACTATAAAATTCATACAGACAGACTGTATTGGTAGCCGGTAGGTATTTCAGTATTTGGTAATATAGGTAATAGCCAATATGAAATAACGATTATTATTGGTTAAACTATGGTCCTAAACTGTAGTCGTTAGACAAATTATATTTATGTTATCATATCATGGGCTTAATCCTTTTTTAACGTTATTATTTAATAGTTATAATAATAACATAATATAATATATCCATCGAGATATATAACTTATATAATATATAATATATCGATGGATATATCATATTATTAATTATTATATATATATTACTACGCAGTGTCGCCTGCCACAACATAATTTTTACCGACGGCTCAGTCGTCGGTCCGTTGGCAACTCTGTAACCTTTGTGCGCCGTCCACGCTCCGACCTCTTTTGTTTCCTGATCGCGACGACCCGTCGACCGACGACCACTCGACTGAGTGCCGTTCACCGTCGTTCATCTCTTCGCTAGCCGTCCTGTGTGTTCGTTGTCTCCGCAGTTCGTACTTGTGATAATACCGACGGAACGCTGCGGCAGCACAGCATTAATTGTCACCGCGACAACAACAGCAGTATTCCTCCTAGATACCATTAGGCTATACCGATAAAGACGATTACGACGCTAGTGCCTGGTTAACTCGGCGGTGCTGCTGTTGTTGTTGTTATGTCCAATTGCCACATACAATTTCGACCCGATTGTCAACGGATCGCCTTTGCCTGACACAATTCCGTCGTACACGTAAGTGTTGTCTTCTGTAGCTAATGTGGTCGTTCCATGTGATTGACGTTACTTCTCCTATTACGTAATAGTAATTACATGCCCACTACTCGACTACAACTACCCATTATACTACTATACTGCTAGAACAGTACTTTATATTATATTACTACTGTCAACCTATAGTACCAGTCTCGAGCCCAAAATGATTATTCTATTATCTTTCGATGCGGACATCCGACGAGTTGTGTTGCAAGCAATACGATCAATATCATACGACAACAACAATGACGCGATATTATTGTTGTTGTTGTTGTTTTTGTTGTGATTGATCGTTGAACTGTTATCGTGAGCGTGTACATACGGGTACATATCACATCACGATTTGTGCGCCTAGGTCCGATCTCCCTCGTTGACAGATCGAGCGTGTAAAATAATTACTTAAAAATTTACAATTAAATGTAATCGTTAAACGTCAACCGTGACGTGATTGCAATTGGTACAATAGTGGAAGCGTGAATTGCTAAATCGTGTGATGAATATGACCTTGGGGTTTGGAATTTTAGACTGTTTGTTTTTGGTATTCGCACGTTATGCGCGTTCTTTTACGTCTTTGTACGCTATCTGGGTTTTGGAAGGGAGTAGGAGTAACGCCGCTCTTGACACGGCCGTGTCGGGTTTTCTTTTCGCTGTTTTTCTTTCGGTTATCCGATCTCATAGTTTTAGGTGGTTAGAGGGGAGGCTCGTTGACGTTGAAATGTCGTAACGCTGTCGACTGTCGTTGGAAGTCATTGCGAACCAGTCGGTTCTTCGGTTGTTGAGCCGAGACACCTGCTTCCACTACCGTTGGCCGTGTTTTTAATTAAACAATCATCCTTATTTATAGTGTAGCAATCGCTCGACGTTATGGCGACAGATAACAATAAACTAATGGACACATTATAAACGATTTTAATTTACGTTGTACGTACATCCATTACGCCGTATTATTCTGTTTGGCTATTATGCGCACACGTAATCGTAATAATATTACAACGGGCGCAATTTCTGTGTTCTAGATCATCATCGTCATTATTATTATTAATAATAGTAGTTTTAATACTGCGACGCTATTGCCATCACAATAATAATAATAATAATAATAATATTATAGGAACATGTCTTGATCCCCGCCAGAGCCTCGCACGACTATTTAAAAAATAAATGTTTTTTCGTGTTTTCATCGTTATTATTATTTTCTTATCGACCGTGTACGCTTATTGACGCCGTTCGATCCGTTCGTCGAACGAAAATAATATTGTCTGTGTTTTTGTGATTTTATATAATAGGTATTGCACTTGTCTATGATTTTAGTTCACGAGGTCAAACTATTGTGGACTTGAGTTTCGTTTCCTTCAACACGTGTCTGACTAAAGTATTATGTTTGCAACAGTTAAACTATTAAAAGTTGTGCATAATAGTTTCAACAGATTTCTCAGTAATTCAATTGAAAATCATTGTCTGTTGTCTATTTTATAATTACTGGTTTTTGTTTATTTTTTATCTACTGACACTGACACTTGAACTTTTATCAACCTCTTAATCCAAACACTAAAATTAAATTAGGTTTAAAAATAAAACATTCTAAACTCATTGTTGAATCGCATTGCAGGAATTTTAAAATTATTTCTAAAGCAGAATTTTTGCTTATCCATCTCTATACACTATCACTTCTCTCAATGATTTTCAAATAATATCTTCTTATTCTTTTATTGACATTTTTTTTTCTATTATTATTTGATTTTAATGCAATCAAAAATAGTAATACTCATGTAGGTATTAGGAAGTCTTCAAACTGAATAATTTTTAAGTGTGTTTAGTTTTTAATCCACTCGGTTTTATATAGATATAGGTTCAATAAGTAAAAATTTAACAGCAAAATAAGTAATATATTCTGTACTATATAATCTATCCTTATGATGTTTATTAAAACTTAATATAATTTAAAAACTTGCTTAAATTTCTGTTATCATTATATAATTTTACTTATATTTTACTTTTAAGTATAAATTCAAATTATAGTTAAATAATAATAATAATTCAGAACATGAGTACCAAACTAACTAATTTTAAATGTATTGAAAAATTTACTTACCTATTAGAAACACTTAAAAGTAAAGATACCTATTTTATACCTATATTGGTACTCACTTGCTTAACAATGAAATTGGTCTTGTTGTTTTATCTGTCAAACAAAATACCTATTTGTAACTTTTTACAGTTTGGCAATTTGTTATATATTTGTTTTTATAATTTTAGGTAGCTGGTATAACTACACTATATATTAACTCGTTTGTTTTTAAATTTAATTGATAATACTATATTCAGTAAATGTTTTTTTTTTTTTTATTAACCTTTGTAATTTCCCTATTGGTACTAATATCTGTCTATAGAATTCATCTTAAAATTTAATGATTTATTATATAGTTTACCAACTAATAAGTAATAAAAATGTATGTATAAATAATTTATTGAGGTAAATATTTTGTTACTTCAGTCAAAGGTTATCTGATATTGGAATGTGCACTATCTAGACATCTAGTACCTTTTAAAAAGATGCCAACTAGAAACCTTAAAGTTTTGTTATTAAATAGCTTTACAAAATATAAATTTATGCGGTTTAATTTATATTACCACTAGTTTTATTTGTAATACTTATTTATTATAACATATTACCTAAGTATTTAAGAGAGGCTTCTTTTGTTTGCATTTTGAATCTATTGCTTGATTTTTTTAAGATTATTTTTCAACCTTTTGGTTTTATTTATTTTTATGATTACTTTTTTTATTATTATTATTATTGTATATTTTATATGTTGATATTCATTTGTTGTATTATATGTGTCATCATTTTAATAAATAGCCATTGAGCTATCACCATTAATCAGTGAAAGTATGTGTGCACATTTTTTTTTTTTTAACTCAACACACAAATTCAGAAACACAAATCCTGTGGACCCCGTCATTTTAGGTTAGTACGGATCTTATATTATAAATTAATTTTAAAAAATCAAAAATTTGGAGTGATCTATTTTACATAACATACTAGGTAGGTATAAATAATACATTTAAAATCCATGATTATATTTTAATAACTTATTTTATTTTATTGAACTATTTGTCTATTTGTTTAATACAATTTAAATAACTCGGTATATGTTAGGTATAGATCCTAATATTTTCACATGCTATTAATCTTACAAGTTCCAACTAAAAGATTTAAAAAATAATTTATACATTTTTTATTTATTACTCAAGTAAAATCATAATTTTTTTTACAAATATTCTTTAAATTATCTATTGTAGTAATTCATTTTCTAGTTGTTAATTTATTATGTAGATACCTATTTGATTTTCTTTAAAAAAATAGATTTATGGGATTAACTATTTAAGTTGGTTAATCTATTTGTTTTCTTAAAAAAAAATATATATATATATATATTAATTATTATTATATTTGCCCATCTATGTTCCTAATTGTATTATTAATAAAAATTAAATAGGTATCTATGGTTTATAATTTGTGAGTTATTTAAAAGACATTCCTGAAAATATGAAGATAATCAAATATTATTTGTTTTTTATTAGGTTAATACATATTCTAATAGTAATTGCGTAATAATTTTTATGAAAAATTATGTAGGTTATTATTTATTATAGATAATATAGAGTTATAACATGACATATTATATTTTATTGTTGTGTTTAAAAAGCAATTAAAAATAATTATTATTTTTAAGTGTATCATCTAATTTTGGTATAAAAACTTGATTATGTTAACAAAGTGATGATCACTCATCAATTGAATTTTGTTTAATTTTACAAAATGAGTAACATTGAGGCTACAATTAGTAAAAAACATTTAGTTTACAGCCTATTTAAGTATTTTAAAATGATTTCCCAATTAAGAGTTATATACTTGATTTTTAAGCTCAATAACATTTTTAATTTAGTTGACTACATAGCTTAAAATAAATAATTTTTTTTTTATAAGTAAATAAAGTATTTGTATTTTTTAAAAAAAATGTTATATATTATAGATTTAAACAAATATAAGATACAGATATTTATTTTGATTCATTTTATTATTATTGATTGGTATTTTGGAATTATATTTGGTTTGTTAATTAAACAGTTTAAAAGTCAAGTAATAATAAATATGGTTGTTAGTATACCTATTTTTATAGTTAGTTTGTTACCTTCCTATTTTTTTTTTTTTTTTTTAATTGTAAATTATTTAAAACTAGATGATACTGTTAACAATCATTGTATACATAATTTTATGTAATTCTAAAAGTGTGCATTTAATTAGATTTAGGCTTGGAAAACTTAAATTAATTGTTGATGTTTTAGGTTTATTTTTATTTATAATTCTTTTGCATGAAAACTTAAGTTTCTACATGCCTAGTTAGATTAAAAGTAAAAATATAGTTAAAAATTTTTCTTTCAATATTTCTTAATGCTTTTTGTCTTATATTTGATTGTATGCAGTAATAGCAAACATGTTTTGTTAATTATATTTTTAGATAATACTGAGTTATAAGTTATTTTAATTTAAAATTACAATTGTAGATAGATTTATGATATCTGATGATTTAAATCTATCCAAACAAATTTTTTATTGAATATTAAGTTTTAACTATGGTTTTAACATTAATATGGATGTACTGAATTTAATTACTGTTTATTTGAATTGTTGTAAATTCTACATCCTATGACTATCCTTGTTGTGATAAATAGCACACCCCCTGGAAGGTCAAATCAATTCTTAATTGACATTAATTGTATGTCAATTTTTTACATGGGAATTAGTACTATTTGATTTTGATTTATTGAAAAATAGTAGAACATTTTAAGTTAGGTTTAAAATCACTTTTAGTTTCTTATGTAATGTAGTTTTATCAGTTTTTTATTGTGATAGGTAATCACATTACATTTTTAATATTTATATAAATATAATTAATGCACAGATTTCTATATAGAACTAGATAGCGAACTCCCGCTATTAATTGAAGCCAAGTTTTTCAATTGGCATTATATGGTAAATATTAATTATGTTGTATTGTATTTTATAATGTCTAAACTTGTTGTTTAAAAAAAATAAAAAATATTTTATATAAATCATTTTTCATTTATTTTCATATTTTACCATTAAAAACGATGTTATTTCTAATAAATTTTGTATAGGAAATTTAATGTTTTGCCAACCGACAATATGGTTGAAATTGATACGCGAGCTTCACTATTAATAATATAAATAACATACGAGTTCCTTATCTAGTTAGTATAGAAATCTGTGAATTAATGATACTATTGGAATAATAATATTAATTATTATATATGTTGTTGCAGTTTTGTATGCAGTGTGTATGCTGCTTTTCTACAATCTTTGCACAAAAGAAATGATCACATCGCATCTTCAAAATGAATGCACGTTCCCACTGTCTTGAGTTAAGCGTTGAAGGTTTCCAAGTAGATGAAGCTGTCTCCTGTCTTTTTCATACTGTACTTCTACATCGATCGCTTGGAAAATTTTGCTTTGCCCCTGATGGCACTTATACCATGGGCACTGTAGGCTTGCGAGATGTTGACTGCAATTTCATTGACTTTACATATATATGTTGTTCATCGCTACATTTAGATCGCAAACTTCGAAATGACATTTCAGAATTTTCTGAATGTCTCAGGCGTGATAATCACACATTTGGACAAATCACGTTAGAGTTTTTTCAAAAAAAAAAAGCTAGGTGGCCATTTCAATCAGAGTGTACACCTTGGGAAGTGTGGAACGTGCGTGTTGATTTGTTGAAAATTTGTAATGAAACTAATAGACAAATATCTAAAGAAAAAATAAGTGACTCATTGAGTGAAAAAATAATTTATATAGCAGAAATAATGAATAGGCATGAGTACTTGCCAAGTATACCACCACAGTCTGAATTGGATTTAGTGTTTGATACATCATTTGCTGATATTCAACCATACTTATTTAAGACCAATTATCTAACCAGTGGTGCAAGTAGTCCATCAGTTGGATCAGCTGTTCAAAAACTCATACGAGATACATTGTCATTGTCGTAACTATAATTTCTATTACAATCGTTATTTTTCTGTGTCTACCAATCACCTATTAGTGGTAACTTAAAATTAGTACAAAGTAGAATTTATATATAAGGTTAAAATTATGACATGTAATATTATTAATAAGATAATAAATTTTTTGGCTTTTATTATTTCTTAATTTTTGATGAATACATTTTATTTTTATTAACTAATAAATAAAAATTAAAGTAAAATTATATTTATAAATATTAAAAAAAAAAAACATAAATAGTTGTTTTATTCACTATTTTTTCTCATTACAGAAGTACTGCAAATTTCTTATTCTTTTGTTTTAATAATAGTGTACCACGTTATATATATTTTTAGTAGTTGATGTTATTCATTTGAGTTTTGTCTTCTTTGACTTTTATTCTTATTTTAAATATGATACTTTAAAAATTCTAATATATCCACTAACTAACATGTAAATGTTAAGACCAAGACTGCGATTTAATTTAATTTAAATATTATGTTGGTAATCTACACAAAATATATTAGTCATTGTCTATCATTTAATTAATGGGTAATATTTCAGTATTTTTTTTGGACAGCTACTTTTATTTTTATTCCATGTGTACATTTTTGTTCTTGTTAAATTTGTTTTGTTGTCCAAAAAGTATATCTGAGTGTCAATTGTTCATTTTATTGTATGTTGCATAAACTGACAATTGTCTGCAATAATTTTATGCGCTTTGTCATAAAAAAAAATTGTAACTTGGTAAATAATTTAAAATATTATTGTGTGAATATTTCATTTTTTTTTGTTTGGAAATTGGTTATTTTATATAGAAATGCCTAAATATATAATTTGTAAGTTTCCATTTTACTTAAATAGTTGTATATATTTTTCACTTGTATATTTTTTTTAAATGGTGATAATTTTTATTAAATCTTATGTTTTTTTATTATTATTATCATAGTTATTAATATTAATATTGTATATTATGTGAGTAAAATTGTAAATTATTTTACTGTTAAAAAATAGGCTTACCAACAATTCAAAAATGATTTTAGATATATACATTTGCTATATAATTATATATATATATTTTTTTTTCATAAATGATCAATTTGTTTAATTTATATGATATGAAATTTCATTGTAAATCAAAAAAAAATGAATATTTTTTTTGTTTTGTTGTAGTAACTTGAACCACTGTATTATAATTTTCATATTGATTTTGATGTTTAATAAAAAAAATATGATAATAACAATATTTATTGTACCCATTTTATTAACTGTAATAAACCTTTCTAATATTAGGTCATTTTTTATCGATATTAGTTTAATGCAGTTGTATGATTTAAAGTTACAATTATATAAAAAAAAAAAATATTAATATTGAACAAAGTTAAAGCTAAAACTAGCAAATTATTTGTTTTACTTATTTTGGGATTAATAAGTGTATTTCTAAAAATAGAAATGTATATAATATTATGTACTAGGTGCTGGAGTTGATCAGTATTTGTATGGACGCCTCTGTACTTATGTCAAATGTAATTAAAAATGATAATTATTATAACAATTATTTTAAGCTGAATGATTATTTTAAATCAATTAAAAAAAAAAAATCGATATCGCTAATTTTAAATCGTAACTCATTATTATAATTTGAGTCCAAATGCAACTTATAAAGAACTGTGATTGTTATTCTACATCCAATTCGACTTTTTTTTACAAAATAATAAAATGACCGAACTTATTTAAAACATGAATTTAACTATTATTTTATTTAGTTGTACCCTAACCATTTTACTTAATGCAAAAATTAAACATCGAAATTAACTGGAGTGTTACATATGAATAACAATATACTTTATAGCATAAATACTTTGCCCAAATTTCAAAAGTCTTCTAGTAGAGGATAATAATAATTGTATAATAATATTGTGTGGTGTAAACATTTTTTCTGTTAATGATTTTGCCATTTTCACCGACGTCCAATTTTTCCCTCCGTGTGTTCAATGATCCGCGATGTCGGTATAATTTACGACTAAATCTATTTAATAGATAAATACCTAGGCGTGTGTTTTATTTTGTTCGAATATAATGGTAATAATACTAATACTAATCATCTGTGCATGTACCGCTTCCGTCGGTGGTTTGTTCTGACGGCAGCGCGGTAATGACAAAGTCGGATGCTATTTTAAATGTATGCCCATGTTACGTTTGTTAAATAAATACCTAATAATATTATTCCACGCTATGCAGTGCATTTATATGTGTATTGCGGGTTGTTTGAATTTAGGTATATTTTTCCGATGCCACGTGATCACTAAACACTGTATACAATAAACCTGATTTGATTTCTACGTCCAATTTTTGCCAGTCGCTTTGAACATGATATTGTTAATATGATTTTTACCAATTTGTGTCTTTCCGATTTTACAGGATCTTTATACGCATGTGATGTCTAATAATGAGTTCACCGAGAAGTAAGCCAATCGCATATCGTTCATACTCGACCAAAACACAATCAACAAAAGGTAAATAAATAATCACACTGCAGTGCGACTACGTTGACCGTAACTTTAAACACAAAAACGTTAACATTTAAAAATGCATGTTGTTTCACATTAATAATAATAGTTTTATGTGACGTTTAAGTCTATAACGTTTTATTGATGTTTCTAATGCTTTACATTACTATCTAGAGATAGTGAGCTTGACCTCTGTGCGTTGAACAATTTTGTTAATAATGAAATATTTATGTACTTGCGTAATTTTTTTTTAACGAGAGGTTGGAAAATCAAACGTTAACGTGATAAAAAATTTATCATCAGAAACAATATACAAATTACCCATGAACCATAAAAAAGCATTTAGTTGCTAGAAAATGAGCTGGTTTGATAATTTTTAATTTCACATCAGTCTTATTTTACTTATTTAATAATATAAGCTGTAGTCTTGTAGATAATACTTAAAAAAAGAAAAAATATATTAAATTGTATGATCATTTTCACGAATAAAATACGAAACAGCAAAACAGTAGTAAATTCTTTTTTTAATATTCATGTAAATATTATTATAATTACTAAATTAGGTACCTATTTAAGTTTTCAAAAAGTTGAAATCTTCTGTTATTTTTCTTCCCCTCTGAGAAAAATATCTTAACTAATAATCATTTAACACTGAAAAAAATTGTGACACACAATATAATATTTTAGTATATTTTAAACATTTTCTTTAGTCAACGTTTTCATAAACTAATAACAGTGACTTTTAACATCGACAGTTTCTAAACTTCCTGATTACCCAACGTGCATGGATTATATTATAGTGTATGTTGTATGTGCTGCCATTGATTATTATACGACATTTATATTACCTATAAGACAAAATAACAAAATTGCAATGTTAAATATTCGTAATAAACTACTCAAATGCGTGGAATAACCTTGATATTTGTACAAGTTGTACTACTGGCATTGTATTATATTTTATAATATTATGTATTATGTTTTTTTATGGACCTTAAAATCAATTTATCTATAGTGGACGTTAGTATGAATAATGAAAATCAAACTAATGAACTGTTCAAATAATAATGTATACATTATATTATACTAGCCTAAATAAAAAATCTATTGAAAAATACTCGTAAAAATTGAACTAGCATTTTTTTCTTTGATAATAATATTTCATTTAAGGTATTTTAATGTAGTCTCTATAATAAAAAATATATTATTTATATTTTATAAAATTTTATTCAAGTATAAAAGTATTTAATTTTAAACAGTGAAAATTATTTAAATCTGTATTCGGATTCCTAAAATTGAATATTTAGCAAAACTTATCTTTAGTTTAAAATATATTGCAGAAACTGGTTGATAGTTCATATGTTTAATTAATACTAATTAATGGTATAAGATTTATTTAACCATTTATGCCATTAATTGCTAATTTAATTTAAACAATAATTATTTATTTAAATTGATTATTTCATAATTTATTCATTTTTTTATTTACTTATTTAATACCTATAAATCATGTGCAGTGTTTATTTATTATTATGTAAAAATACTTTCTGATAAGCAAAAAAGAAAATATTAATAATAATAAAATGTTTTCATTTTAGTGTTGAGTGGTGAATATAGCGGCAGTGAGAGTGAATCATTTGATGACACTAACGATGGACGCAGAACGGCAATTAGACAAGAACCACAAGGACAAGAAACACATAAAGACTTCAGTTTATCATCACCTTCCGCTTATGATACACTTATCATCCATAACGATGATGGAACTAGGTTCAGTTCTGGAATACCTAAATATCGTTATGGGAATAGGGAAGAAGTAAAAAATCAAGGACATAAAAATGGTGGACGACAGACTGTTGACATGGGAGTTAGGGAAATAACCAATATACCAGATGATTATCTCAATCAATCTCATGTATAATTTTATTATTATTTATTATCAAATTATTAATATTGTTTATATTCAAGTATTCATGTTTTAGGTCTTAAAACATCTTGCTAAAGAAGTTAAAGTGGATCCATCAAAACGTGACACTAACTTGTCTCGATGGCATGATACTGATAAAAATATATGGTTACCAGAATATCGACCAGTTCCTATTAGAAATCTGGTTAAATCTAAGTCTCAACCAAATTTGGGTACAGGTTTGTTAAAAATTGAACGTTCTGAAACAGATCCCATGAGACACACATTAGGAAATACTAGGTATTATTGATACATTTAAAATTAAAACATATGTAATATTAATTCTATATCTTAAATGGTTTTAGAAAAGATCAAAAAATGTTGTCCATAGTGGACTGTTTGATGATGGAAAACAAAAGTCTGAAAATAGAACTGGAATCGTGCCATCAAAAAGTTGCCAAATCGTACAGGGTACTTGTTTATATTTAATTACTCACGTGTTTATAATTGTTATGACACTAAATGTTCCTAAAATTGATTAATTGGTTCTCAACATTTTTGTATTTATTTTAAAAAACATTAATTTGAATTTATTATGTTATTTATTAGCTTGAACAAGAAGTTTCAAAGGTATATCGATCTCACCAAGAACTTGTGGAATCAAGTGAACGGCGGGAAAGACTTGAACGAACAGCTCGATTAAAACTTCAAGCAGAAGTTAGGCGTTTACAAGAAGCCAACCGTGCTTTACGTGAACAATCATTGTCCTCCTCAAATTTAGTAGATTCTAATCAAATGGTAAAACGTGAGAACATGATAGCTCAATTGATAACCCAGAGTATGTCGTATATTATTTTTATACAATAAATATTTAATTAATATTTATTTTTAGATAAAGACTTATTAGCAGCTAAAGACCGCCAAGAAATTGAATTAGCTGCTCAACGTGCTACATTAGAAGAGCAACGTACTCATATTGATATTTTGGATACTGCATTAACCAATGCTCAGTCTAATGTTGTTCGATTAGAAGAAGAATGTCGTAAGAAGCAAGTTCACGTAGAAAGAGTTGCCCAGCTTCAAAGAGCATTGTCTTCTCTTCAACTAGCAAGCGATCGCCGTGAACAGACTGAGCGTAAACTTCGACTTCAGTTGGAGCGAGAATTGAGAAATGAACGTGCGCGCAATAATAATGCTTCTCAAGATGGTTCAACTGGTGAGTTAAAATCATATGACTTATTTTCTTATGTTGTATATATTATGAAAAATTATAGAAAATGAACCAGGTGAAAGCTTACCTGAATTAAAACGTATGTTACGTGAAAAAGATGAAAAAATAATGCGATTAGAAGGTGAAGTTGCAAAATGGGAACAACGATACCTAGAAGAAAGTGAACTACGACAAGCTGCTATTGATGCAGCAAGTGTACCAAAGTAAGTAATAAATTTCTAAAATCTATTTTTATATTGCTCGATAAACTATTTTAGGGATGCGAAAATAGCAGCATTAGAAAAGACAGGTCAAGAAAGTGAAAAACTTATTGCAGAAGCACGTTCAGACAAGTTAAAACAAATGGAAGAAGTTCATGCAGCACAAAAAAAAGTCAGCGAATTGGAATCGCGGTATTTAAATTTAAATTTCTACAGTTGTTGTTCCTTATTATATATTTTATTGGCTTACAATAATTAAATTTTTTGTTTTTTTTTTTTTTTTATAATTGATCTTAGGATGAAAGAGTTGGAATCTAGATTGGCCGAACGTGACGCAATGATCAGGGTGTTACAAAAAAAACATAGTTTTGAAAAGGATGTGTCTGGGTCATATCCAAGTATATGTCTTAGCCATCACACTCCACATTCAAGTCTTAATACTACAGATTTAACTTCTGATGACCTTGGTAAATATATCATAATTTATAATACTACCATGGTGGTATAACTTTAGAGGACGCCGCACCCTCATGTGTTATCTCTATCTTACACACGACATGGCAAATTTTCGTTCAGCAGAATCCATTTTATGATGATATCTTTAATATTAGAGTAAACTTACCTATTATAAAACTTAAAGGTAAACATTTTATCTAGGCCATTACATAGGATTTTATTGATATTTTAATTTTAAACTGAGTTATAACTATGTAAAATATTAAAATTATAAAATGCTCATAATTCACTTTGAAATTATAATATTAATAAAAGCCTATGTGATGCCTCAATAAAATTCTTACTATATTTAAGTTTGATTACAGATAAATTTACTCAATATTAAAGCTAACAACATAAAATAGATTCTACTGAACAAAAATTTGCTATGTTGTATGTATGTAGGACGAAGAAAACACATGCAGGTGTGATGTCCTCTTGATGACAATATGACATTTCTGTAAATTTATTTATACATTATTATTATTATTTGTTTACCATGTAGCTTTATCCATTGATTTTCACATGGACACTGTATTTTTATTAAATGTGTAATAGTTTTAATTTGATACTTATGTATTGCTTACTTTTCATGAAAATTAACCAGACTATTTTAAAAATTTATAGATTGTATAATTTACTAAATAAAATATTTTGATATTACTTTTCTGTACGGTGGAATGGCTTATGGCTCTCAAAAGTAAAATAAATTAGGATATCGTTCATCAGATTAACCCAACATGAATTATGCCTAGTAAAATCTAGGTGATATCTATTTTAAGGACATGGATGTTATAGTACTAAGAAACTAGTAAAATTGCTTACACAAAAAAAATAACAATGTTTTAAATTAACTGTTATAATCTAAAATTTCAAAAAAAATATATATATATTTACATTTTACAACTATAATATACATCATAATATAATCATGTCATCTCTAGTTTCAAATTTGGTATGTAACTGTATACTTCTGTTCACTATTTACTTTTGTTTTACACAATTTATAGAAAAGTATGGATTTATCACATAAAAAATACATTCTCACCATATTCTAAAATGTAATTTTTTTTACAACAATGAAAATAGTTTGCTAAATTTTCTGCATATTCACAAAACAGTAATAGAACACAATCGCTTAAAATTCACAGAGTGACTGAAGAACAGATTATAACAATATAATGCATAATTTATCAAATAGTCATATTTCACAAATTATTTTTGTGTTGCATTAAATACCTACCAACTTGAAATTATCTTTATTTTATAAGATACTATTAGTAGATATTATGGTTGGCGGTATTAAAGTATAATCTTATTTATAATACGATGGTCAAGGTTTGACTATAACTAAATTAGTTGTATAAATGAGTAAATTTAATAAAATTATACTTCAAATTTTTTGATTTTAGTTCATACTTATATAATATGCATTTAAAACTTACTTAACTATAAATTGAAAAAGTACAAAAAAAAAAAACATTCGTACCCTATTTATTTATTCTTTTGTTTTTATGTATGCTTCCTCTATAGACTATTTTGTCACTTAACTAATCTCTTAAAATCATTATATTTTGATAATTATTGACACAAAGTCTACTGTGTTTAATTTACATTAAAATGTTTGTATCCAGTATCCTCTAGTTTTTAAGTATAATAAATTCACCAACAATTTGAATGTATTCCAGTCATTGATTTAATATTATTTTTGATTACTTTCAATAATGTGGAGCTTATTTACTCGAGACTTATAATATAATAATCTTTTGTTTCTCTACATATTTTATGCAGTGAATATTCTCTAAGATCCACTGATAAGGTAAAATTCTTCTAGCATTATTTTTATATATGGTACTAAACCTCGTATCTATTTCAACAATTTTTTTTTGGTCCTTAAATTTTTTCTGTTACAGGTTTTTTATAGATATAATATAACCTTCTCTCAAATGATTATTTCAATCTATTATATTTTGTTTTATCATATAATTTATAAATAAAAAAATGTACTTCTTAATTGATAATTATTTTAGAGGTGAATATTAAAATGGTATAATTTCACTTTGAAACAATTGAATCTTGTTCGTTTTTGGCCATGACCATAAATCATATCAATAAATTAAATAAACAACATTTAAATAAAAACTATTAAAACTTTCAAGGACGATTTAATTGAATTAACAGTTAATTAAAAGTATATAAAGCGAAGAATAGTAATTTATAATTTTACTTAATGTGTCTGCTATCTCGTGTTTATTGCCTTAAATCTTTGAGTTGGAAATTCAGAAAATATCTTCTATTTTGTTCTTTGAAAAAAATATACCTAATAAAAGTTTAATTTGTTATCACCTAGTTTTTATTCTTTAGGTTTTGGCTCAAATAATTCATATACAAGTAGTGTGGACAGTACTTACCATCACCACCATGGTAATAAGTATTCATCTACAAATCAGAGTTTTGACCATAAATCATTAGATGATCAACTAAAAGAATTGGACTCGCAGCTATTGAACAAGGTAAACACTGTTGCAGAATCATCTTACACTGATTCAGTTTCCGATGTTGTCTATTTGTTTTAATTGTTAAATATTGTCTTGTTTATCTTAATATATAACAAACGTTTTTCGTTTTGTCTATTTAGTTTGTACTCACTCTATTATATTTTTATCTGTGTGGGTATTAATTTTATAAATTACCATAATTTAAATGCCATTAATTGGCATAGTCTGAAAGGTATCGTAACTAACACGTTCTCCCCTATTGAGAGCTTGATCTTGAACTAAATCATATGTGCATATTTGAAAAAAAAATAGTATAACCAAAAACAAAACAAAACTAAAAAAACTTTCCATTTGCAATGGAAAAAAAAATTACAAGTGTGTATTATTTCTAATCTTTAAAGCATCTTAATGTATTTACATGTTTTTAATTTCTTTTAGTTTTAACATTTTTTTGAGTGAATTAATCAGGCATGAGTTTTATTTCATTTTAATTTCGGTTTAACTAAACAAAATAAAAATATGCAAGAGAATTGGTCGTTTACTGGGTGCCTGGATGGGGGGACGTGTTTGTTTTTGTTTTCAGAGAGGTCTTTGCTGTTTTCCAGGCTTCTCTCATACGGGCTCTTTGTCGCGAAAAGCGAAAACACCCCAACCACTACTGGAGGGTGTAACTGGAAATTTCCTTGGCCACCGAGCTGATGACATCATGCTTTTGGAGAAACAAGGTTTGTGTTCACAAGCACAACGCCAAACACAAGAAAGCCGTTGTGGAAGTTTACCTCCTAGTTCACTTCCTCGGCCAAAACGACACAGGAAATCTAGCAGTAAAGTTGGAGAGTATGGTCGACTCAGCGATTCAGATGTCAAGTCCAAAGATGTGAAAAAGTTAGGTGAATATAGTCATTTCAACGATAGCCGTAAGAATTCCTTGAATTCCCTAGATACATCTAGTGATGCTAGCACAGCTCCAAATACACCAACCGAATGTCCCTCTTCAGTTAAATATGAACCATTAGAACGATCACTCAGACAATCACCTCTGCCACCAGATGGACGTTATCGTAGATCTAGCCATGAATCAGATGTCATTAACTCTAGAGAATCGTCTTGGACTGGGCCTAGAGAGTCTTCATCTAGAAATAGTGTCAACCGAGAATCAAGATCTAGTATTACCAGAGAATCTCCAACTAGGGCAATAATGGTTGGTCCTAGAGACTCACCAGGAAAGAGTATACTTGATCCGCCTAGAGTTATGGCCAGAGAATCTCCAGGCCGTTCTTTTTACAAAGATACACAACGAAGTTTTATCCCACCACCTAGAAAAATCGATTTTGGAAGTTTAGGCACACCAGATTCAAGTAAAATATCAAATATTGAATCCAAATTGAGAATATTCTCTCCAGGAGGGATTCAAGGAAGAAGAGGATCATTGCAAAGAGATGGAATTTATAAGGGAGACTCAAATAATAAAAATGGTGTTCGGTCACTCCCTACTCCGAACAAATATAGAATTCAGTTTTAATTTAATGTGATATTAAAAGTTAATTAATAAATCATTAAATTATTATTTATACGCGTTCTTAGCGAGTTCAGATCTAACACTACTTATGTAAAACCTAGTCATGTTGCTTGTCAATAAAATAGCTGCAGTCTTTTGGCGTTACAAGTTTAACGTACATTGAAAATGATCTGCTGTATTTTACTTTACTTATTGTATATTTAATATGTAAACGCATATTAAACAATGTAAAACAAATTGTTTTTTTTTTTTTAGTTTAATTTAATAACAATTCAATAAAATGTATAACCAAAATCATTATCTAGTCCTGCTTATTATTTTATTAAATTAATAGAAATAAATTTACAACTCTGGTTTAACTATATTTTTTAATTCTTTGTTTCCTTAAAAACTTGATTTATGATCCTCTAATCTTATGAAATTGTTTTCTTTTTTAATTTTGTACAGTAGTCATAGTGATAATGCATAGTAGGTAATAACAATCTATATATTAGTAGTCTTCTTAAGTCAAGAGTTTGTTTATAATATTCTTATCACCTTTTGAACTATATATTATATAAGTACTATTGGTAAACGGTCTATTAAATACTTATAAATTTTAATTTTTAAATATTTTATTAAATTACAGTGCCTTTTTCCTCTTTACAAATTTATTTTAAATATACATATAAAGTTAAATATTGCAATAAGCTATAATTTATGTAGGTAGTAATACTTACAAGTTCACGAATGATATTACATGATAACTATGTGTATAGATAGTAGTGAAACTTCATAATGTTATTACACAATTTTATATATAAATTATAGGATCATGTATTACACAATTATGTGGTTTAATTAGTTTATTGACTGAAAAATCAATTGAAACTGGCATTAAAAGTTGGATTTAGAAGAATGATTTTTTTTTACATCAGTATCAAATGAGAATAAAACGTAACTAGGTTTGATTCGGTTGATTAATTTATTTAGTTTATGAAAACCGTGTTGTTTATTACACATAAGTTATAAATGTTGTATACAGTAAGATCCGTATACAAAAGGACAAAGGTTCATAATCAAAAGTGTTCTTTGAAGAGAAGCTTTAGTATTTTTTTTAGTTAAACTCATGTATATATTTAATTAAAATATTGTATTTTAGGTATAAAAAAAGCTAATAATAAATATAAATATTAATCAACGCCTGTTAATCGTCAATTATTGAAATTAAATCGTGATCACTGATATAAGTGCAGACTGGGATATAGAAGTAGGGGATGGAATATTTATTAAGGGTCATATATTTATAATTATGAATAATTTTCAATACTTATCTCTAATTGAAGGGATGTGATAAAAATTGTCTATGGCATATCTTTACTTACTAACTTTTATTTATAAGTATTATAGTCTATGGCCATTAGGACATATTTAGGTACAAGAGCAAAATATAAAAAAAGGTTAACAAAAATTAAATGGGTACAATAACAATTAATATTGATATAAATATAAAAATATGGCGGTACCGATGAGATTGATCAACATCCAAAACCTATCTAACTATGTCCCTTAAACATCGGAATACTAAAATTGATAGGTAATTAGAAATATTGACATATAAATTATAACTGACAAAAAAAATACTGACGTGGATTAATTATTTTTAACAATAAAGAGAAATGGTGTGATATCAGTTTCCGTAAAAATATTAACCTACTATATTTTTATGCTCAATTACGGCAGCTTGCAATGTCCACCAAGAAAAAAAAAATTGGATTTGTAGGCACTGCCATGAAATTAGAACATACTTAATCACTAAAGCGGTACAATATAAATTATAATAATAAATAGCAATATAATCATTAATCATTATTTATTGAATTGTTAAAAATATATAAAATTTTACTGTAAAAATTATTAAAATAAATTTATATTGACAAACATTGTTTCATGAAAGAAATCTTATAAATTAATTAAATAAAACTATTAGATATTTCGATTAATTATTTTTCTTTTTTACACTTGAAAAAAATCTACTATACTTACACTATTTTTTAGTGAAATTTCTTCCTTTAACAAATTTTTTGCTTTTTAAACTACTCTGTAACAAAAAAAAAAAAAAAATCATACTAATTTAATTAAAGTGAATATATTTAAAAAAATAATTATTAATATTTTTATTTTATCTTCAAATTATTACGCTACACAATCGAAATGTTCTTTATATTTTCAAACTTTAATTAACAGCGATTATCCAACAGAAGTATTTTGTAGATCGAAAAACTCTCTATACATCAACAAATGTGATATGGGCGTATTTAAAATACGTGATATCGTTGATATTAATATTGTCTGATAAATTATTTCGATCTTTTGAATTATATTATCCATCTAATATTTTTAAAAATTTTCCATATTATACTTGTAACCTTTGTTTTTTTTTTTCAAAGTTTATTAAATTTATTTCGAATTTAACGATCAATATTATTGGTAAGGTAGCCTATTGAATATTAATTTTTTCTACCACTATAATTTTCATAGAATTTGGTAAACTAATCTTAGAAGTCTTTAATTTAGTTACTGAATCTATATAAGTTTATTCAAAATTTGATTTTTTTTATAAATTAAATTTAACTGTAAACCTGAATCAGTTAGTAAATCTAACAAGTTTTTAATTGATCTAGCATCGTTTTTGTCTAATTTTGTGATGACATTTTTTATGGTATAAAAAATGTTTGTAATAATAAAATGTTGCATTTAGTTATGTTCTCTTGCAATCTCCATCTATAAAGTAGCAGTAAATAAGTACATAATGGTTGTGATTGTGAATGTTGTGATGGTAATGGTGTAGTGATTAGTGATTAGTGGGTGTCATTTATTTTAAAATATATATTATGATAGATGTATCTAACAATATTTTTTCTTTCGTTTGAAAGTACAAAAATTAATAAAATGTTCCAAAAAATACTAAATGTCCATAACAATACAATTTTCTAAAGATGAAAAAATTGTACTATTAGATTTTATGTTCCATGGATCAATTTTTATATAGATTGGCAACGCATTAAAATAATTCCGAGCACTAATAATGACAAAAACTCTTAGAGAGTAGAAATGCCAGTAGAAGAAGAAGAAGAAGAAGAAGAATAATGACATTCTAGGTTAGTTAATAGTTTTCTTGAATTTTTTAATTTTTAGAAACTACAATTTGTTGGAAGTTGTTATAAATTTTAAAATATCATTAAAAATTAGGTACACTTGTAAAATGTTCATAACTTGTTTTAAAATTGAAATACAAAAAAGCCTAGATGGTCCTTTAATTAATATTTTTACTTTTAAATTTTAGAATAATTAAATATCGACAGGAAATTACAAAAAAAAATTAATAGAAACATTATTAAAAAATATATATACTAATATTTTTAATTTTATAGAAATAATATACAAAATGAATTATTCTAAACGTTAAGTTTACTGTTTAAAGTTTAATGTTAAAAAGATGAAGACAATACAAAAGGTCATGACATCCAATTAAAGTATATCTATTTACCAATAAAATATTTAATTATTAATTTTATAATAAATTACTGAAAATGCTATGCAAAGGCTAAAAACTAAGTGTAAATCAAGAATATTTATAATTTTATTATACAGCATAGGTAACATAAACCTTTAAATATTAAAATATATTTTGTTAAAATGAAACATTTTAAATTTTATTTAAATATAAACTGTACTGCCATATTGAAAATTTGTATTAAAAATGAAATGCTATTATAAATGTAAATTTAATTAACACCATGAAACACCTTCGTATAAATTGTAAGCTGCTATTAAATATTAATTCTTGTAATTGAAGTTTATGTATTTACGCATAAAACATTGAACATATTTATAAATTAACGAGAAAAAATTTGAGATAGTGTCAGCAGAAGGGCAAATTTTTATTTAGGTAAGTTATAGTTTTAATAAATCATTTTTTTTTTACTGTTTAGGGTAGTATCCTACACTCTACAACATATAGTTAAAAAATGTTAATATTTTTTAATAAATTATTAATAATAATTATTATGGCGTATGGAATTTAATGTATAAAAAACAAGAAAAATGCCGTAAAACAATAAGATTTATTAATGCACAAATATGTGCCTACATTATAATAAAACTTTAAAAATTCCCTTTAAAGTTGTTTTTAATTTAATGTTAATTACAAATATTTTTGTATTGTTTAAATAAACGCAATTTAGCATTATCGCCATTGATACACGCCGTGAATATACCTATTGACTATATTTGTCATACATGTATATTTGTATACAAAAGTGCTAATGCTAAGATGTGAGACGTGAGTATTTCTTAATATTTTAAATGGAAAACCTCAGATCAAAATTTCGTTTATAGAAGTTTAAAAAGAGCTTAGAATTTTATATTTTTAGAACTTTTTAAAATTTTAACTTTTTTGATACGTGTATATGCAGCACAACTTACTTTTTCGTTAAATAGAAAGGCTATTTTTTTTTTACGAAATTGAATAGATTATTTTCTTTTGAAAAACTTTTGTATAAAAATTTGTTTTTTTTAACATCAAAATTCAAAATTGACAAAATTAGCGTAAGTTAAACATTTACAAATAATTTCACTATTTTTATTAATATTTCAATCATAATATTAATTTTATGCTTGAGACATTCTTGTATTGTTGAATTATTATTTGTACACAGATAAAATTGACATTGCTATTAAAAAAAAAAGTATCTATATCGTTTTACGCATAAGCATACATACAGAAAAAATTAAAATGATGATATTTTCTTAAAATGTGTTCTTTGATATAAGTTTTTTCTATAACCTCTTAAGATTCGTATTTCGATTTATGAACTTTCAGCTGAAATATTTTGAGGTTTTTCTGACTAACGATACACTGTATATTTGTACATATAATATTTGCCTCCATGTGATGAAAATTTTGTTTTTCAGACCATTGTGCAGCTGCCGTCACATTTATCTAGTTGGGTTTATATAGGTAAAGAGATACGTAATAAAAATAATATGACGGAGTATAATTAATAAAACTAATTTCATTTTTCTTCTTTTTATTGATGACGTTAACTACACCAAACATTTTTATAAATGTTTGTACAATTTTATTCATTTTTACATAGCATATAAAAATGAAGATATTCAGTTAAATAAAAAAAAATTATAAAATGTAAAATAATAGTTTAAAATCTTAAGTTCTTTGAAATACGAAACCAATTTTATGTTTG